GTGTCTTAGTCAAATTGTTTTTAATTGAAACGACTGAAAGTTCGAAATAATTGATCGGCTCATTGCAAACCTTCAAAGTCCAAAGTTACAAAAAAACAATTTGAATGTATAAACTCACCTGGTGGAAAAAAATCAGGATTAGAAAAAACTTGACTAGAGAAGACATTTCTTTATTTAACACTGACACTACTTGTTATCATTATTTATTCTCACAAGTTTTCCTAATCGCGTCATTACATTTCTTGTTAATTCGCGATATCTCGTCTTTTAGTTGAACAAAATCTAAATCGATTTGACTCAAATCATCCCCAGGCTTTGCCCCCACGTAAAATTCTTGATACTTCCTAATAATTTCTCTAAGCTTGTGTAACTTATTTTCAACGTAGCAAAAACCATAATCAGTCTTGAGATTTTTCAAATTTATTCTAGCTTGTGTTTCAAGGCTGTCCAACTCGTATAAAGCATTGTTAATTTTTTTGCTAATTTGGTGTTTGAGCTGTTTCAATTTGGGGTTGCAAACGTGAGTTTGAGTCTGTAACTAGAAAAATTCGATTTTGGGATGGTTTTTTGCTACTTACAAAAACAATGCAAAGGAGGAGTGCAAACATGAGACGCATTTTCTCTCATTTGACCTAGTTTGTTATCAAAATGCATTCAAGGCTGTTGCAATAAAACAAAGATAGTGGTTTTTATTTTATTGATTAAATAATTATGACAAAACTTTTAAAGTGTTAACATTTATCATACTAGGTGAAGAAACAAATATTGATTTCATAGCTGATAACTCCAATTTGAGTTAGAATAGCGCCAGCTTTATCAGTGAGACAGTTGAGATTATAACGTAAAGTATCATTGCTCAATTCTTCGTATTGCCTTTGAAGTCGGTTTATCTGCAGATTCAAATCGTAGACTTTATCACTGAAACATTTCTCGTACGATTCGATTTGAGTGTCTAAAGGATTCAAACTCGAGCACCAATACGCCGTATTATATGCAACATTTGCAAGAGTTGAAAATCTTGATTTTGTATTTACAAGACGTGAAGTGTTGGAGTTACTGTTACAATTATTCAATAGGGAAGTGCTCAAACGAGAGGCAATACTTTCCTGAGTCCTCAAACATGTTAGAGTCACTCCAGTGGCATTTTTCTTGGCTTGTGTTAAAATTTCTTTGATTTTGTTGATTTGAGTCTGAGTTGTGTTTCTACTTCGGGTCAAATACGTGTTCAATTGAGACACCAAGGAGCTATATTCGCGAGTTGTTTCCTGGTATTTGAGATTAGCAATGTCACGGAGTCGTAAAAGAGTTGGTTTGAGCTCGCTTTCAACTTCGCTTCGAGTCAAACAATCGGTTTGCTAAAAAAATCAATTTCGAACAAAACAAAATGAAATAAATTACTCACTTTGAGAAGAGAAACTATGCATAGTAGAGTCACCACTTTGGAAAACATTTTGGTCATATGAGATCCAACACGAAACAATTGCATTTAAATAAGAGATAAATAAATATTTGTTTTAGTTATGGCCAAACATTGCAAAAAGTTTGTTTTTCAGGGGATTACCCCTACTTCAAGGGAAATTGTCGCGGATTTGGAACCACAAATCAAGGCAATTCAGGCTAAAATCTCAACAGTGTACAAAAGTACAAGCGATACTTTCGCCTCAACTCGAATTTTAATCAGGAATAACATCTTAAATGCTAGGAACTTGAGCAGTTACAAGTTACTAGAACTGAGACATTTCCTCAACCTAGCCCGAGTTGAGACAGCATCGGCCCGCCCGAAAGTCCGGGCCTGTATCACCAACCAAAACACCGAATTTGCCAAGCTTTTGCCTGGGAATTACCTCACTTGTGAGGCCAATTTTAGTGACCTCGTAGACATCCAGAGTGACATTTTGAGGTTGCAAAAAATCGGTCAAGACTTTGTCCAGTCTTGCATTCGAATGAATCCTCTCTGGAGCGAAAGGCTTAATCTTCGGGTGTGTCTACAAGGCAAAATCCGCGATCTTGCAACCCAATTGTTTAACTTAGAGAAAGAATTCACAAATGGGGTTAAAAATCTGGTTAACTTTTCAACTTCGTGCGTCGTTGAGACAAGTGGGAGGCTCTTGAAACAAATTGGTGCAATTGAAGGTGCTATCAGGAATTGCAAATATTTCTCCTAATCTCAAGAGCCTCTTGAAGTCTCATATAAATTCCGTTTTTTCGCTCAAAGTGTGACAGTTAAAATGTTGAAATTGGTTTCAGTTGTGATTCTGGGGGCCCTATTCCAGGTATTACCAATTATTTTTTTTTATTTACTTGAGTTTGGTTGTATTAGGGTTGCTTTTGCCTCAATCGTCAAGACGTTATAAACGAGTATTCGCCGATTCTTGCTGCAAAAACTGCAAATTTCAGTCAAGATGCCAAAAACATTCATTCGGAGCTTGTAGTGGTTGAAAATATTTTGAAGAATGACACTTTGAATACAATGACGTTTTTGAACACCCAGATTGCGGCTGTTAAGAAAACTATAACTGATGCCAAAACGGCTTCTGCTAATAAAACCACCGTTTTGAATTGTTTGAGTGTCCAGGAGAAGGCAGCGGCGGCATTGTCGGCGTCTGCTATCAACTCAACTTGTTGGGTAACTGCTGATTTTACTGAATTAGCAGCAGCTGAAACTGATTTAAAAACTTTGGCGACTATTCCCAACAATACTATATCGGCGTGCCAGACCCTGGACCCCCTTAGTCCCAGTCAAGATCAGCTGTTTCTGGACTGCATTGAAGCAAAAATTCTGGATTTGGATACTCAAGTCGGAATTTTGGAAACTAATTTTGCTAATGTTAAAAATGCAACTGTCACTTCAACAATCAAGTGTATAACAGACGTGAGTTCTCCAATCGCTGCGAAAATCAACGAAATCAGTTTTCAAGTCACACTTTGCTTAACACTAGGATAAGAATAAAAACGTTTTGTAAAAATTTCTATAGTTCGTTATTGACCTTCCCCCGAAAATCGATAATATCGCAAATCCAGGTAATAAAAAGAAATAGTTTTGCTTCTGTTGAAAATCGGACAAAAGCTGACCGTTTGAAATATTGCACAAGGCTTTTGTGGCGTCCAGGCCCGGACTTGGTCACAATATGCAAATCCGGGTTATTAAAATTAGATTATTTTACCTCACACATAGATATTAGAAAATTATTCCAAGACACCTGAGTATTGCCTTCGGCTGATACTTATCTACAAATAAATTTGGCCAAAAAAATAATTCTTATCCCTGGATATTAATAAAGCCCATACACGGTATAATCAATTTCGAATTAAAGCTCCACAATTAATAATCAAGGGGCAATTAAAAAATTATGCTAAAAAATCTATTAAAGCACAAACATAAATCATCACGCTCTACTTAAATGATCACTTTCGGTTAACCGACTGTCAATCGAGAAACCCAAAACCATCACTCTAAAATCCTTTGAAAATTGAGTAAAATGAGATCACTTTATTAAAAAAATCTGAGAAATCAGATTACCACAAGTGGTGATGAGATAATTAATTATTGTACGATTATTTGCAAATCTGAAGTGAGTTGATACAGGTTTTAAAATTGTTCTATTTTGGGGAATTACTTTTTCCAACGCAAAACACACATTCGTAATCAGATAACAATTTAAGTTTACACAAGTCAACAGTCTTTTTCTGTGATAATAGTTTTGGAAAAAATAGTTGGAATTTTTCTAATAGTCCTGCTGGATTCACCAAGCGGCCGTTAACTTTGGAATTACGAGTAGTTGTACAATTTTTTGGAATTTAAGCAAAATTGCTTAGAATTATTTGGAATTATCTTTGGATTGTTTGGAATTACTGGAATTATTTTGGAGTTACTGACATAATACTCTCTTTTCTGTTTTTTACGGAATTAAGGAAAATATGTTTGAATTAATGTGAAATTATAGAAATTAATCTGAAAGCATTAGAATTACGATGGATTGTTGGAATGACTTGATTTTTTTTGGAATTACTGAAATTATTTGTAAATTTCTGGAATTACTGGAATAATGTTTTTTCAAAATTTGTTGAATTTCTCAGAACTATAGCAATTAATTTGGAATTACAGGAATCATTTTGGAATAGTAGGAATTAATCTGAAAACAATGGAATTACGATTAATTTATTGAAATTACAAGAATTTTATTGAAATTGCTATAATTATTTGGAATTATCGGAGATAATGTCTTTTCAAAATTACATTGAATTTTTTTAGAATTTTCGACATTAGTTTCAAATTATATTGTAATAGTGTTGAATTATATTGTAATTACAAAATTTAAGTTGGAATTACAGGAATTTATTTGGAATTATGAAAACAATGGAATTACAATGGATTATTTGAATTACTAAATTACTGGCATTATATATGAATTACTGGAATTCTTTTTAGAATTATCAGAGATTATGTTGAAATTACGTTGATTGTCTTAGAACTATTGAAATTACGTTGGAATTACAGGAATTAATTTGGAATTATAAGAATTAATCTGATGAACTAAAATTACAATGGATTATTGGATTTACTGTAATTTCGGTAGATTTATTTTGGAATTACTGAACTTATTTGCGAATTTCTGGATCTTTTCTTTAATTACTAGAATTCTTTTAAGAATATCATAATGTCTTTTTAAAATTTGTTGAATTTCTTAGAACTACAGCAATTAATTTGGAATTACAAGAGTTATTTTGTAATTTTCAAAATTAAGTTGTAACTTCAGAAATTAATTTGAAATTGTAGGACCTAATCTGAAAACAATGGAATTACGATTAATTTCAGTAAATTAATTTTGAAATTTCTGGAATTATTTGTGAATTACTTGATCTCTTTTTGAAATTATCGGAAATATTGTCTTTTCATAATTAGGCACGTTGAATTTGTTTGAATTTATATTGTAATTGTATTGAATTCTATTGTAATTACAAAAATTAAGTTGGAATTACGGAAATTTTTTTAGGAATATCATAGATAGTCTTTTCAAATTACGGAAATTAAGTTGGAATTACAGAAATTAATTTGGAATTGTAGGAATTAATTTGAAAACAATGGAATTACGATTAATTATTGAAATTACAATAATTTAGGTGGATTTTTTTTAATTATTTGTGAGAATTGTTTTTGGAATTATCATAATGTCTTTGCAAAATTTGTTGAATTTATTAGAACTATAGCAAATAATTTGGAATTACCGAAATAATTTTCTTATTACCAAAATGAAGTTGGAATTACGGAAATTAAGTTGGAATTATTGGAATTGTAGAAATTAATTTGAAAACAATGGAATTACGATTAATTATTGAAATTTCAATAATTCGGTGGATTTTTTTGAATTATTTGTGAGAATTGTTTTTGGAATTATCAGAGATAATGTCTTTTCAAAACTACGTTAATTTTCTTAAAACTATCGGAAATTAAGTTGGAATTACAGGAATTAATTTGGAATTATTAACACAATGAAATTACAATGGGTTATTGGAATTACAGGAATTTTGGTGGATTTTTTTAGAATTACTGGTATTATTTGTGAATTACTGGTATTCTTTTTGTAATTACTGGAATTCTTCTCGGAATTATAAGAGATAATGTCTTTTCAAAATGCGTTGATTTTCTTAGAACTATCGGAATTAAGTTGTAATTTGGAATTATAGAAATTAATCTGACGAAGTGGAATTACAATGGATTATTTGAATGATTGTAATTTCGCTGCATTTATTTTGGACTTTGGAATTACAGGAATTAATTTGGAATTATAAGAATTAATCTGATGAAATAAAATTACAATGAATTATTGGATTTACTGTAATTTCGGTAGATTTATTTTGAAATTACTGAACTTATTTGTGAATTTCTGGATTTTTTTCTGGAATTACTAGAATTCTTTTAGGAGTTCCATAGATGTCTTTTTAAAATTTGTTGAATTTTTTAGAACGACAGCAATTAGTTTGGAATTACAAGAGTATTTTGTAATTTTCAAAATTAAGATGTAATTTCAGAAATTAATTTGGAATTGTAGGAATTAATCTGAAAACAATGGAATTAGGATTAATTATTGAAATTACAAGAATTTCAGTAAACTGATACTGAATCTGTTTTTGAAATTATCGGAGATATTGTCTTTTCAAAATTAGGTAGGTTGAATTTGTTTGAATTTATATTGTAATTGTATTGAATTATATTGTAATTACAAAAATTAAGTTGGAATTACGGAAATTCTTTTAGGAATATCATAGATAATGTCTTCAAATTCAAAATTTGTTGAATTTCTTAGAACTATAGCAATTAATTTAGCATTACCGGAATTATTTTGTTATTACCAAAATGAAGTTGGAATTACGGAAATTTAGTTGGAATTACAGAAATTATTTTGGAATTGTGGGAATTAATCTGAAAACAATGGAATTACGATTAATTATTGAAATTACAATTATTTGGGTGGATTTTTTTTGAAATTACTGGAATTATTTGTGAATTACTGGAATTGTTTTTGGAATTATCAGTGATAATATCTTTCAAAACTACGTAGATTTTCTTAAAACCATCGGAATGAAGTTGGAATTTCGGAAATTAAGTTGAAATTACAGGAATTAATTTGCAATTATGAAAACAATGGAATTACAATGGATTATTGCAATTACTGGAATTTTGGTGTTTTTTTTTAGAGTTATTGGTATTATTTGTGAATTACTGGTATTCTTTTTTTAATTACTGGAATTCTTTTCGGAATTATTAGAGATAATGTGTTTTCAAAATGCGTTGATTTTCTTAGAACTATCGGAATTAAGTTGTAATTTGGAATTATAGGAATTAATCTGATGAAATGGAAATTTGAATTATTGTAATTTCGCTGCATTTATTTTGGACTTACTAGAATTTAGGAGGAATTTTTTGGAATTGGAATTATTTAATTAGTTGTAAACACATTTTTTTCAAGTTAACGGCCCATCGTTATTCACCCGAACCGTGTTTCGAGTTTCGATTTTTGGTTGATCCAAAGTGTTGCGTTTAAAATATAGTCGAATCGAGTCGTAAAATAAGTCCTTGTAACTTTCATCTCTCTGCGTGAAACGAAATAATTCTGAAAAGTATAAAATCCCTTCGATGACGTACGACCGTCTACCGCTTTATAGTAGCCACTTTCCGTAATTTATTTTTTAAATAATTATCTCTCAGCGTTCCATCTCGAGTCGTAAACATCTCCCATTGGGTAATTTGATATTAGCAGTGCCTACCAACTTGAGAGCAAGAAAAAAAAATCAAAAGTCGATTCTTCATTATGTGAACCGTACCGTCGTCAGAGAATAATTACTTGTGTATGCCTCGGGTGGAAAATTGTGCGATTCCGCGATCATTTAATTGAATTGTCTGGGACCACCAACGTCCTTGCATCCGGATCAAGTATTTATTCCCTAATCAAGTGGGGCATTGTTTATGTCCAATCACTGCTGTTTTATTCGTTCGATTTGAATTGCGACATAAATCCGAATCAAACCGACCAAAAAAGAATCACCACGCGGGGGCTGCTTTGGCACTTATTATTTATCTGGGGAGTCTCAGTAGCCTCGTGTGCGATCGTTTCGATATTTTATTGAATCACTCCGACAACAACATGAACTTTGGATCTCTTATTTATGACTCGAGTTGAATTAAGTTGTTGCTGCTGATTACCTTTCCATTTTGACAGTGAATATAAATACGCTCGGCGGCAATTAATGCCCCCACGAGAAAGCACGACGACTCTTAATATGGACGACCGAGAGACGATTTCAGACAATAATTGGCAACTCGCAATCATCTTAATTGCCCTGTAATGGCTCTTCGTTAGCGTGCGGGTTTCAGACGCCACCTTCGGCACGAATCTGAGACAAAAAAGCACAATTGGGGCAGGAGTGACATCGATTCGCCAAAACGAGATATGTAGGACCCCAAACA